TTTGGAGGAAGGCGAAACGAAAGAAAAATATTTTGATATGATTATCGAATTCGAATGGAAAGTCGAGGCAAAGTCTACCAAAATGCGTTGCCGCAGAAAATATCGCGTCGCTCCGGCACTGGTCCATCGCGATGTAATCGCCGAGTCTGACCGACATCTTAGCATTGTAAGAACGCGCGTATAGGTTTAACAATGAAACGCGCCCGATTCCGCAACTTGTCAATTAAATGTCTACTACTTCCTGTGAAATTGGAAATAACTTTGATATAGATTTGAAGGAAGCTGTGGCGATTTTCACAGCTTCCCTATTCGTCAGTATACGGTTGAAAGGATTCCAAATCTTGTTATTGTGTTATTTATGTGCTTATAAGTAATAACCGATAGCAAGAATACAATCTTTCCACATGGAGAAAATCAAGGCTGAAAGGGGTAATGTGAAAATTAAAGTTTGAATATAGAGTTAAGTTTTTGATGTTCGTGGAGATTCACTGTTTCGTCAGTAGTATTTTACGAGTTACAAAACTTCTAGTCTTCAGGTCAAGTCGGAAACCCATATTCCTGGCGCGGTAAAGAATTGTGTGGAATGGTTTGATTTGAAGGTCCATTCCGATCATGATTCAGGCGAAGATCAACGTCGTGTCTGTGCCTTGAAGGAGTTCATAGATGAAGGTATTGCCACTCTTTTTCTTTGCGGTTGGCTGCTACTGAGATGTAGGTCGTGCTCTCTTCAGCAAACAACCCTGAAACCGTTTGTTAGCTGCTGTTTCAATGGCGCAGTTCGCGTTGCGAAACTCTGAAAAATACATGGTTATGAGGAAAACCTTGGGCCCAATCGGGACTTATCGGTCGATTGAGCTACGTAACACTACCGGGCACCATTTTGCCTCTGTCTAAGCTGGTGTGAGCTGAACAAAAACAGAGTTTAGGAACATCGAGGTATATTAGGTAGAAGACTAAGAATATCCGGCTTTGCGCGCACCTCTTTCATTCTGCAGTACTATTTCCTGTGTCTGCCTACTCCTCAGAGAATTGAACTTTGCCCAGGCAGCACCAAACGTTCCATTTGTTTCATCAGAGTTTTTGTGGAAAGGGCTGGTCATTGAGTTGGTGACGCCCGGTGTTTATGGCATCACGATGACCAATACAGCATGCATCCAACGTTTGGAACTCACAAGGAGGATAATGCTTGAAGCTAAATGGCAAGCAAGTGCAGATGGAGTCCGGAGTTCTATACTCCATCATCGAAAATCAGGGATGTTGCTGTTTTCGTCTAGGAATTGAAGATCAGAGGTGCCAGCCGCGCCACGCGATTTTGTGATAACCGCTGGGCCAGGTTACAGACTGGATCCCTCGGGGCGTCAAGTGGACACCGGGCGAAGACTAGCTCGACGGTCACGTTTCCTTACTAAAATTCTCGCAGAAAAACAAATTGTATGAGAAAGCGATGCATGAAAGCAAAGAAAAAGGTGGTTCTTTTCGCCTCCAACGCAGACACTAAAGTTCTGAACGAAGCAGAATAAAAGCATATGTGTCTCTAGAGCGATGAGAATCTACTGTAGTATTCTGGCACACGAGAATAACGAATGTAGGCTTCGCTCTTTACGAGGATTCCATGAGTCTCAGGATGACAGAATGCGAAATGGCGTATCTTTTCACTTACGATTCCGATACTTGCAAAAAAACTTGCTGTTTTGGAAGTATTAAGGACATGTAGGTGGCATTAGTCCGAGGTTTCAGGCCGTCGAAAATTCGAATCATGAGTCCCTACGATATCGGAAGGCGTCGCAAATGTGCCCTATTGGGTTGGAGCATAATATCGTAGCGCTGGCATTCGGCAAAAACGTCTAAAGGCAGTGATTACGATAGATCCGAGAAGGGTTTATAAGGAGACTGGTGGTGCTCAGGGGTACGCCAGTGGCGAAAAAAGCGGAAAAATCCGTCAAGAAAACGCACAAACGGAACCCCATTTTTTGGCCGTTACTTTTCACTCATGAACAGGTAACAGCTCATAAAACGGATTGTATGAACGAGTTCATCCGCAACGCGTTTGGAAAGGTGGTAGTGACAGCTGCCAACCAGGCCTGCCACAGAGTCGAGTTTTGCACGTGCTAGGGCAACGCCAATGAGTCCGGAGGAGATGCTGCCCCGTTTCAATCACCAAAAGAAATAGTGGCGGATCGCTTTAGCGGCAACGAGTAAGCGAGGTGCTTTCGCGAAAGTCTGGCTCAGCACTAGCCGAATCCGGCCATTGTGAAAGCGCTGCACCTCGCTCCCTGGCAGCCAGGTAACTGATTCGTATGGATGTATATGCTTCCGGGATGCGCTCCCACTTTATCGTAATCGCTGCCTTTAAAACAAAGCTAGCATAAAAATAATCAGTGATGTTCTTTTCGTCATTATTTACGACTTTGATTCCACTTCGCAGGAAATTACCGGATTCAGAATTGAGGAATGGTGTAAATCCGTTTCATTAGTTCCGTGACTGATTTATTTCCTCTTGTAGCGGCGGGAGATATAATTAAAATTGTGAGAAGGAGTCGACTGCAGAGAAAAGGTTTGAATGATGACGATGGATTCGAAAAACTCTATTTTGGCAGCTTTTCTTTATATAGATTTTCGCCCACCTTGATTTTCCAACTTCTAAGCACCATATCTGAGTACACTTACAATATAGAAGAAAATGACAAACAAGGTATTGTAGAGCGGAAGAAGTACTTTCAAATGATATATGTGATTTCCTGGGTAATACTTGTATTCACTGAATTTGTAGCTCGAAAAGAAAAACGCTACGATATTATGCTCCAACCCAATATTGAATGAGTCATGGTGGATGCTGATCACCATCCGCGACGAGCGGCGATTTTGCGCGACTATAAACCAAACCTTCTGTCCCTTCCGCAAAGTGGCAGAGATTCTGGGCGGCATCAAGCTACCTCACGCTTAGGGGGGCTCAGCAAGTTTTACATACAATTTTTATCTGCAGGTATTATTCAGGAGCCTATCGAATGAGTATGCTTAATATATTCAATTTTTTTTGTCTTACGTTACTCATTCGATGGGTAATCTATAATCTCACAATCATCATTCGCAAGATGAATCTGCAAATATGCAGTCAGACTTGTGATTTTGAAATACCCTCTACGTTTTTATTATTTTTTCCCACTATTTTCAGATGATATCAAGGCCGCTTTTGATGAGCGTTTTGATGGGCATCGTAAGTGTGACTTGTCCACACTACTTTGGTACTCCAGGAAAATATTTATGGAGTAAGGTTGTGTCTGTTATTTTTTAACTCATTGATTGATTATCTAGATTGTTTCATCAAAAGCGGAGTTTACGATTAGAAGGCAGTCCATTAGAATTAAGGTGAAGGTGGTCAGGGATGCTAGAATGAAGGAAAACCACGAGACACGGCCCATGAATCCGGGAAATGCTTGCTCGTAGATTTCCGCATTGATGCGACTCTCATCAGTGCTGCCCTCTTCAACGCTAACGCCCTCTCTGCTAAACGGCTAGAGATCTGCGCCAAATGCGAGTGGTTAGCCAGTCGGTGGGCGTCGCCGCGTCGATAGCGCCGCCACGGGTAGTGACCCAAGCTAGATTTTTGCTATTTCCTGCGAATTGCGTGTCGGTCTGCACCCTTATTTTCAGGAGTACTGCCTATTTTTCCACTAGGTAAGTTTCCCATGTTTCGATCTTATCGTGAAACCCTCTCCTAAGGCAAGTGCCAGACTTTGCAATAGGCGATTTCAAACGTTCACGCTGTCCGTACCGCAAAGAAGAATCACCCACGCTGCAAGGAATGCTGGACGCCCAAAAACTGTGAGATTCGATACGCCGGCGTCGCGAATTAATCTCAGCGTGCTTACCGTAGTATTGATGGTTTGAAGATAAGTGTGACTGCTGAGAAAGCGAACATTGCGGAGCTCGCGACGGTGCGGCTGTTCCAAAGACTAGCTCACTCGCCCGAAATGGGATTTGGGTTTTTCAATTCTTGAAATATGGTGTCCAAATGGTGCTTGCTAAGCAAGCTCCCTTCGGAATATTCCGAGAGTTCACGTCCTCGGAATAGATGCATTATATCATGACTACTAAACTATTGGGATTAATAAAAGAAACTGCGGAACCCCATTCGGGATTTGCAGGCAGTATCCCAAAAAAAATGCTGGAAAAGGGTCCCGGAAACCTGCGTTTTTGGACCCGGTCGTCCTATCTTAACTGTGGGCGGCGTTGCCCAGTCTCGGCGCGAAGAAGGGATCGGAACTTGCGGGACACATTACCGCTGTGTACACGCTGTAACTACGATCCTGAACTTTTCGTCCACATGAATGCCAGCGGGCGTTGTTTGAAGTATTCCAGAAATCAAACAACCACAAAAAAAAAAAAAAAAAAAAAAAAAAAAATCCCCTTTGAGATTGCAGTAGTGAGAAAATGTTTGGTATCGTGACTGTTCTAAATCTTTGAATATTCGAAGATTTTCACTACGGACATGATTCGAGAACCTTCGCTTCCAACAGTTTCCAAAAAGCTTCAGAGAACACTCGGGATTTCCAAAGTCTCGACCATAATAGTGAAACTGTTATTTAACTGAAACATTTCTCAGGCAAGGAGTTTCTCAGCGTCAACAGACAATCGTCTACATCACTAACGATACAAATCCTTTCGAAGAAAATTGGGCAACACAGATTGAAGGCTACTTCGTAAGTCATCTTCTAAAACTCATAGTCACTACAAGCTGTTTTTTTGTTGCTAGAATGCGTTTGTGAAATCCCGTACTTTATTGAGAAGGCGAGTGCTGAGTATCCATTCAAAGAAGTGGTCACGAAAAATGAGGGAGGTTGTGTACATATGCCGCACCTATGGGTACTGAGTTTTGAGAGATCAACACCTGACCATACGACTCGGCCCTGCCACGTGTATTCTATTGATGTCCGCTTTTTGGTGTGAAATTGGGGTTCCAATCATAGAAGAAGAAGCTGTGAAAAAGGAGGCGAACTTCTTGACTTGAAAGGTGTTGCACGTCTTGGCCTAAGGTGGATCTCAGACTCGGCTATTGTGCAGTTGCGACAGCGCGCCCAACGCAAACCATTCAGATTAATAACGATACGCCTCTCTCGGTCGATTAGGCCGATGTCAGACTTTGCGAATCGCGCGATTCGCTCGCGTCGCGGTACCAGCCAATTGAGTGATTCACTGGCCGCGACGCGACCGCAGACGCTAGCGAATCGCGCGATTCGCAAAGTCTGACATCGGCCTTATGCAGCAAATAGCCACAATGCTGTCGCGATCGCGCACTCGTCTAGTCTGACATCCACCTAGGAAGCGGGCGGCAAATTAGCGTCGTTGGTGTAAGGCACTAAGCCACACCTTTCGACGCGCTGGGGCCATGATCCAGCTGGGTAAAGCCTTTTTCCGCCAATGACGTTGACGCTGACGTTTCTTGTCTACCTTCCACTGCATTTGGAAACGTTTCTACGACTAAAACACAAATCGCCGCATCTGATGGGTTGAAACCAACTCCAATGTTTTCAAGATAAGACAGTTGGCTGTCATAGCTTGAAAACATATTAGATTCCTTGACAGCCGGTAAATGAAGGTATATGTGTACAAGTAAAACAGTACGATGAAAAAGGCATACATTCCATCGTTGAAATGTCACCAAAAATTCTATATGCATCCCTTACCCCATCTCCATGGCGGGTTCCGCTACTCATGCTGATCAGAGTTCGTACCAAGACATCTCAGTCGTCTAGAAGAACAGTTGCTAATACAGTATAGAGAAAAAACTTCATAGCAATGTAGTACTGTCTCTATGGTGTAACATAATAGTCTCGCATTGTAAGCTACTCGATAAAGAAGTTGTAAAAAGCTAAACCACAAGGGACGTGATGCATAGTTTGAATTTGTTTTACAGACTAGAATGAAGAAAGGAGTGGCATCTTTCCGCCATCCAGAAAAGGGAAACGGACCGCAGGAGAGTTTTCAGTAGTACTGTTACGAAAAGAGGAGGACGATGATGACGAAACATATGAGAAGGACACGAGAGTTTGGGTAAGTCGTCAGTGTACCGATTGCAGGGTTGTGATCCGGACCTTCCTCTATGTATCACCCCTTTCTGTAATTCCTCTATGTAGCTTATTGGTACTCATCTGAAAGTGTATTCATCATATTCAGTGAGTGGGGTGGGGGGGGTGGACTACTCGACGTAACGTCGATTTTTTCATCCTCTCAGGCAGGTCCTCCGACTGAAACATGGGCGGACTCATCAAGAAATGGTATAGGCCAAACGCTCATCCGAAACTAATGCTTCTGGGTGAAGTCGACGCGCTGGGCGACGCAGCTAAATAACTTGTGCCTCATTGGCATCGCTATCCTTATACAGTTACTTGTGGAAGATCCCCATGGAATTGTAGTTTGCGTATTTCATGCATAACTGAGCTTTGGCATTGGGTTTTCTTTTTTTTTGAGTTGCAGCAGCATACTCTAACTTCTTACTTTTTACTTATACAGGGGGGGGGGGGGGCAAAAAAAAAAAAAAAGACATTTTGCCTATGTCGGACTTCGGCTCTTTTTTCTTCGCAGAGATTGCTGTCGTTGACGGGAGTTCCTCAGCAGAGTATTCCCTAAGTGTTCCTCTATTAGTGTACGCAGGCTCTCCTTCACTGCCCTCACCGTCTTCAGAATATGACGTCATCTGTCACCGTCGTCAGGCTCAAGGAGGTCTACCGTAAGAGCTTCAGCCTGAAGCTCTTACGCAATTTCGTGAATCGATTTAATGTTGGATAGTTTTCTAGAGGCATTAGCTACCACTGTGCAAATCCCCTCGGAACTAGCTTTCCAGTAAGGGTCGTTATGGTACACGATCCTTCGAAGACCCCATTGAGATCGACCAGTGCACCATGTTTCCAGGGCTAATTCTTCTGATGCCGTCCACGTACGTGGCCACTATGAAGATTTTCTTATAGAATGGAATGCACTCTTTAATAATAAGTTGGAACCGTTCGGTCTGAGTTGAGTAAAATGTGCTTAAATCCATCTGGAAGTGGAGGCAAAATGTCTTTTTTTTTGGCCCCCCCCCCCTGTATATATTTTTTCAGTGCCAGTAATATCTTCGAAGCACTCACACTTTCCCTTTTGACTTTCTCGCCTCTTGTTTATGTTCTATGTCATCATTTGTAGTCGTATATCGTTTTGAGATCCTTTCACCGATTTAATTTTTAGCGACAGCTGGATCCCAACATCGGTGCGAGCAAATCGATTGAGGATTTAGAAACACAGTTCGTAGTCCTACAAATTGTTTTTATTTTGTGCTACAGTACTTCTAGTTTACTGCTCTATGTCTATAAAACAGCTACTGAAATAGTAACATTTGATGGTTTCAGAGTGTTCCAGAAAACGTTCTCACTCCGTTCGTTTCAGTAATATTGCATTTGAACTGGGCCCTGGTGTGAAATTCAGTGTTTCTGTGTATGTGATTTACTACAAGTTTTTAGAAGCTACAAGAAAAACAAAGCAGTAGCAGAACCAGTGTTCGCGGTATTTGTTCGTGTTCAGGTATGCGTTGGCTAGTGAAGCTCGTCCTCCCACAAAAGAGTACCTAGACTACGAGACAGAGAACCCGGTTGAGAAGCGTCAAGTATGGGTTCCTCATGACGTGAGTTGTTAGAATCGTGCTAATTTTACGCAATCAATCATATTAGGAACATCATCGGTTTAAAAATGCCCACGCAGATGAGCTTCTTTGCTTTAGCTTTTTCTTCTGCAAAAATAGTCAATTAGCAACATCTTGAAATTGCAGCTCTATTTTTACACCTCAAATTTCGGAGGAAAGGAGGGATGTACCTATCAAAACACAACATTCTCCATCACGCTGGGTTAATTGTAAGCATGGTGCAGATCGGTGGCCACATAGCATTGCAGAATTGTCTTTCTGGACGGTTTATCAGCAGTTCCTGAGTTACTTGATACCGGGGTATCGAAAGAATTAGATCACATCGATCGGGCGAAAATATAGTTCGGGGTCGGGGCACCCTAGTTATTGTATCTTCAATACTAGAGAGAAGTCCGTTGGGTCCTCTGACACGAACCATAAGATAGGTTAAGCTATCTCGCAGTCTAGTCAGGCGAGTCCTAGGACTTAACGTGGCGAGCGCCGCACTTGACAGAAGTTGGTGGATAAGCAGTTTCCAGTGTGCCTTGCTGATTTCCAGCGAAGTATTCTGGAAGCAGCTTCTCCACGCGAATTCTGTCAAGTGGGTCAGCTGCAACATCAGGTCCGCAGACTCACTGGGTATCCGACAGGAAGGGCTGCGAGTCAGCGGACGAGTCGCAGCGCGTGATGTGCGATGTAGGACGTACAATGGTACATTCTATTTAACTTGACGCGAAATCACTACAGTACGCGCGCGACTCGTCCGCTGACTTTGCCTTCTTGCCGCGCGACGGGCCTCCTGTCGGGTACCCAGACCCACTAGTTAGACGGCGAGATATGACTGTACGTTGGAGTTTGCTCTTGATAAGCACCGGTGAGGGTCCTACATCTTATACATTTTGCCCACATTTTATACAGTTTTTTTGCCTCTGATCATGCACCCTGAAGTTACTCCTTCTTTGTCGAAACCTCACGAGACCGTTTAGCTTGGGAATCCAGAGAACTGGGAGAAATTCGCGAAAATTTTCACGAAGGCTACACAACGTTTTTGTACATCTCACTAGTTTTTTATGGCTACATAGATGGAGATGATTAGGTCCAAAATGTTTTTTTTTTTCATCAAAGAAGGTGGACAACACATCCTTTCGCTTCCTCTTGAAATTAGCTTCAATTAGATGCAAAGAATCGAAAAATTTAGAATGCTTCTCAATCGATTAGTCAAAGATCAGGTGGGGACAACGAATTTGAAGACGAATTCATGACTGATGTATTGGAGGATACGAAATGGCTTGGTTAGATGTTTTCCAATTGCAGTGTTTGATTCTACTTGTAAAGTCGTGGACACGCGAATTAATGAATTTTTACAGAAAAGGAAGTTGGAGATCGCACACGAGCTAAATTTGAGCTCAAAAAAGCGATAAAGATCGGTGGCGAATGTATAGTGAGTGAGCAATCTGAGATCGAGGAACTGGGTAGATTCGATGCCAAAGGTTTGTCTTTACTTGGCTTAGAAAAACCAAAAAGCGCTGTTAAATCATAGCTTCATATTGAAATTGGGATGTCAAACGAAGCGAAGACCAAACAACTTCTTTGAACCCCAACACCCTGAATTAAATTAAAAAGTCCGAAAAAAAAAACAGTGGTGTCGGAGACAACTCTCTAGTTAAAGTACCCTAAGAGCGGGAGAACTCAATGAGAAATAAATACTACCAAATTGAAATCTGCAGTACTAAATGAAAACTATTATAAAGAGAACTTTAAAGATGGCGTTCTAATAACAGATCCATCATACGAGGATGTAAGGTCTTTCTTCCGGTAACGGTCATCTAGGCTCTATAAGTGAGCCACGCATGAAGTACCGAGATATTATAACTTACAACTGGCGCAATTTTAACACATTGACGACATTGAGACGCGGTAACGCGTCTCACTTTGCGCACCTCGTTGGACATTGAGACGCGTTACCGCGTCTCACCCTTATCATCCCTTTTTCTAGGGCATGCGCAGCTTTTTCCCGAATTGTTTGTCTCTCTTCTATGGATTAGAACATAACATTATTGTGAACGACATAGGTCATTGTTTGTTCAAATATGCTCCAGTTTAGAAGAAGTTTTCCAAGCTCACCGAAACCGGCGGCTTGGTTCATTAATAGTTTTCATGCTATTCTCATGAACACGTCAATAAAAAAGGGTAGTGAAAGTAAATGCAAATCTAAAGAGACAGAAAAATACATGTTTCACTTGGTATAACCACATCAAAAGAGCTTTTGGCATCCACTACAGATAAAATGACTAAAATTTCCTTTTTCATTACCATTACATGTTCTTTAATCGGAACTTCGTCACTATATACTCTATTACCTTCTACGCATTGACTGTTACTGAGATGTTTTTGTACCACTGGTGCTTTAAAAAGTTATCAATAAAAATTCACGGATCCGAGGTGCGGCGGTCGCACTCGCAAAATCGGCCCGGTCCCACACGGCCAAAAAAGCCAAAACGCGCGCGGTCGTCAATGTGTTAATAACACCAGTTTGGCTGCGCACGCATTCGCGTGCATCACACGGGGGTTCAAACAGGATGATCACTGTTCTTTTCTAGATTTTAGTTTTCTTTCGGTACATCCCATTTACACCGACTATTAGGTCAAACTATATTTTCTATTATAACTATAAGGCGGTTTCGGAGAGGGTCTTTCTTCCAAGACAGGGTTTTTTTCGGAAGGTGGTAAGGCTGAAAAATTATGTCTGTGACCAATGTTCTCTCTCTATTACTGCAGAGCTGCTGAGTGAGATTCCAAGGTACGCTGCTTTGGAGACACTCCTCTTTCGAAATTCATGGGTAACCCCGCCCACTTTTGCGCATGTCCTGCCCACTGAGACTTCATTTCTTTCGCTGACCTCTATACTTTTTTCCTGGTGTCCAAGACTTCTTGGAACCGAGTAATAATGTTTCGTGCATAACTCCGCCCACTTTTGTGCAAGCTTAGCCCACCATTAGCATTTAACCCCTTTCCCTCCGGCAACCCTTATCCACATTTCTCCCGGTCGTCTAGCCGTTTTGGAACCGAGTTATGAGAGTGGTGGCAAACTCCGCCCACTTCGGGGAGTGCCGCGCCCAGCGTTCACATTCAACCTCTACTTCTCCTCTCACCTCTACACATATTTTTTTAGGTTCCTAAGTCATCTCGGGGCCGAAATTATGAGGTCTTGTAGAAGACGTTATGAGTCATGAATTTCTGGGGCAACCCCGCCCACTTTGGTGCACACTTAGCCCACCAATAGCATTTAACCCCTTCCCTCCGGCAACCCTTATCCACTTTTTTCCCGGGCGCTGGGGCTTCTAGGAACCGAGTTATGAGAGTGGTGGCAAACTCCGCCCACTTCGGGGTGTGCCACGCCCAGCGTTCACATTCAACCTCTACTCCTACTCTCACCTCTACACATATTTTTTTCAGGTTCCTAAGTCATCTCGGAGCCGAATTATGAGGTCTTGTAGAAGACGTTATGAGTCATGAATTTCTGGGCAAACCCCGCCCACTTTGGTGCACACTTAGCCCACCAATAGCATTTAACCCCTTTCCCTCCGGCAACCCTTATCCACTTTTTTCCCGGGCGCTGGGGCTTCTAGGAACCGAGTTATGAGAGTGGTGGCAAACTCCGCCCACTTCGGGTGTGCCACGCCCAGCGTCACATTCAACCTCTACTCCTCCTCTCACTCCTATACACATTTTCTCAGGTCTCTAAGTCGTCTCGGAGCAGAATTATGAGGTCCTGTAGGGGACGAAATCGAGCTACGTATCTTTGTGGCAAACCCCGCCCACTTTGGTGCATGGGTCGCCCACTGCTATCAGTTGACTTTCATCTCTTCCCCAACCTTTTTCTACTTTTTTTCCCATCTCCAGAACTTATTGGAACCGAGTTATGAAGTACCGTGGCAAACCCCGCCCACTTTGGCGCATGCTCCGCCCGCCAACAACGGTTGACCCCTTTCCCTCTGCCAACCCTTATACGCTTTTTTCCCGGACTCCGGGACTCCTAGGAACCGAGTTATAAGCCTAATTGCAAACTCGTCTTCTGCTTCTGCTTTAGCCACCGAGATTGGTATTTAACTTTATTCGGCTAACGTTTCGGCGCAATCGCCTTCTTCGGAGCCTGCAAGTCAAAGCATATTTTTGAAACAAATTCATTCAAGTACCATTTTGGATCACATGAAGGAAAAACTGAGGGGAAATGAGTCAAGCACGAAGTCGTAACCAGCTAACCTTATTAGAAGCCGAGCGTTGGAAGGCACCCTTGGCTTAAGGACCGTAAAGCGACTTTTATATGTGCTTAATCATGCCGAGATTAACGGAGAGTCGTTCATGGGCATTATTCTCGGTTGGAGAGCGCAGACGAGAAGAAAAATAGGCGCTAGAATAGCGTCAACGCCGAAAATGAATGTCATATTCGTAATCAGGACACCAAATAACCCCTATACGGAAGTTTACACCAAATTTGGTGAAAACAGGTGTCGTGACAAGGTGACGCCAACTGGCGCCAGATGGCGCCACCGCTAAAAATGAAAGTCATTTTCGTAATCAGGGCATCGAATTACCTCTATAGGCAAATTTACGGTAGTTTCTAAGGTGTACAAAATTACACTGCACGAGCGGAGGTGTTTTACGTGATATTGGCGCGGGCTTATCTACCGGAAATTAGGGTACTTTAATTAGAGGGTTTGTATCCGACACAACCGTTTTTTTTTCAGACTTTTTAATTTAATTCAGGGTGTTAGGGTTCAAAGAAGTTGTTAGGTCTTCGCTTTGTTTGACATCCCAATTTCAATAATATGAAGCTATGATTTAACAGCGCCTTTTGGTTTTTCTAAGCCAAGTAAAGACAAACCTTTGGCATCGAATCTACCCAGTTCCTCGATCTCAGATTGCTCACTCACTATACATTCGCCACCGATCTTTATCGCTTTTTTGAGCTCAAATTTAGCTCGTGTGCGATCTCCAACTTCCTTTTCTGTAAAAATTCATTAATTCGCGTGTCCACGACTATTACAAGTAGAATCAAAACTGCAATTGGAAAACATCTAACCAAGCCATTTCGTATCCTCCAATACATCAGTCATGAATTCGTCCTCAAATTCGTTGTCCCCGCCTGATCTTTGAGTATTCGGTTGAGACGCATTCTAAATTTTGTCTGCTGGTCTTTGCACCCTAGTTGACTAATTGCAAAAGAAAGCAAAATGATGTGTTGCCTACATTTTTGGTAAGAAAAAAAAAACATTTTGGACCTAATCATCCCCATCTGTGTAGCCATAAAAAACTAATGAAACGTACAAGAATGTTGTGTAGCCCTCATGAAAATTTTCACGAATTCTTTCCCGTTCTCTCTGAGTTCATCAACGCATAAAACGGCGTCTACATAGTGCAGTTCCAAAAAAGAAGATAGAACTCAAGGTGCAACGATTCAGCGGCTAAAAAAGACTGTATAACAATCGTGCGGCAAGAATGTTTAAGGCTGGTAGGACCGCTCTGCTGTGCTCTATCAAGAGCAACTCGCCAAACGCACGTCCAATACCTTGCCGTCTACACTAGTAGGATCTGAGTAACACCAGACAGAGGCCCGTAGCCGCAGCAGGAAGGCAAAAGTCAGGGAACGAGTCGAGCGCGTATTTGCGTCAAACTTAGAATGTGCCTCGCCGAGGTTTCAACTCGCACACGCCGCCTACGACCGTCCCGCAGACTCTGGCTTCTTGCTGCAGCCTCCGTCGAGTACCCGCTGGGTCCCTTACGGAGCGATGATATGCACCGACCACACTTGACAACAATTCGCGTGGATGCAAGTTGCTAATCCAACGAGACTTCGCTGGAAATATCAGGGCCCAAGCACTGCTGGAGAACTGTTTTCTCCACACCAAGCTTCTCGTCCGTCGGCGTTCGTCAGCGTACGCTCCTCAGGACTCTCGCCTGACTAGACTGCGAGATAGCTTACCCTATCTTTATGGTTCGTCCGTCAGGTACCGCAACGGACTTCTCCCTAGATATAAGAAGAAATAACAGCATAGAGCTTATGGTGCCACGGTTGGTGTACCCGATCGAACATACAATCTTTCGCCGCCCGATCGATGTAATCTCAATTCTATTGAAATTCCACGGACCATCAAGTAGCCTCTCCGTAACAGTTATTAACGCGCACCAGAAACGACAACTCTGCAATGCCCTATGCTGACTCAGCCGCTCTGCTGCACCATGCTTACAATTAACCCAGCGTGATGGAGAATGTTGTGTTTTGATAGGTACATCCCTCCTTTCTCCGAAATTTGAGGTCTAAAAATAGAGCTGCAAATTCAGGATGTTGCTAATGAAGTGTCGACCTATTTTCTGACAAAAGAAAAGCCAAAGCAAAAGAAAGTAATCCTGTACGTGGGCATCTTTATTAACCGGCGATTGATGTTCCCCTAAATACCTGAATCGTGATTGTCCCGTACAATTTGCACGAACTTCTAACATCAGCGTCATGAGGAACCGCCATAGACTTGACGCTTCTCACGGTTTCTCTGCTCCCTCGTAGGTCTAGGTAACTCCTTTGTGGAGCGGAGCCCGACGCCTTCACTAGCGCAAGCATACCTGCACCGAACAACTCATGATCGGCGACCCCTCGGCTCTGCTACTGCTTTGTTTCTTGTAGCTTCTAAAAACTGTAAGTAAATCACATACACAGAAACACGCTGAATTTCACGCACCAGGGCCCAGTTCGAATGCAATATTACTGAACGAACGGAGTGAGAACGTTTTCTGGAACACTCTGAAACCATCAAATCTTACTATTTCAGTGCTGTGGTTTAATTAGACATACCCGAACTTAAACTAGAAAGTACTAGTAGCACACCCAATAAAAACAACTTCCTGTAAAAACTATTACGAACTGTGTTTCTAAATCCTCAATCGATTTGCTAGCACCGATGTTGGGATCCAGCTGTCGCTAAAAATTAAATCGGTAAAAAAGGATCTCATAAAGCAATATACGACTACAAATGATGACATAGAACGTAAACAAGAGGCGAGGAATGTCTACAAAGGAGAGAGTGAGTGAGTGCCCTGACTTCTACTATGACCGATAACAGCCACTAAGAAACAGATGAGATTTTGCCATGCAGCTCACAGTTACTGTTCAAAGCTGCGCGCACGTGCTCCGACTTCACCCCAGAATCATAGAGGTTCGATATGCAGCATGGCAGGCCTATGTCCAGTTTCTCGAGTATGACTCAGACCAGCGTTCAGTTGCAGGTCTTAGTCCTCAAGCATGAAGCGCAACCTGATGCCAGTCTTTCCAATGCATCCAGTAATTAAGTATCACACCTGCCTGAGAGGATGAAAAAATCGACGTTTACGTCGAGTAGTCCACTCTCCCCCCCCCACCCCACTCACTGGATATGATGAATACACTTTCAGATGAGTACCAATAAGCTACATAGAGAATTAAGAAAGGGTGAAAGGGGTGATACATAGAGGAAGGTCCGGATCACAACCCTGCAATCGGTACACTGACGACTTACCCAAACTCTCGTGTCCTTCTCATATGTTTCGTCATCATCGTCCTCCTCTTTTCGTAACAGTACTACTGAAACTCTCCTGTCGGTCCGTTTCCCTTTCTGATGGCGAAAAGATGCCACTCCCTTTCTTCATTCTAGTCTGTAAAACAAATTCAATTATGCATCACATCCCTTGTGGTCTAGCTTTTTACAACTTCTTTATCGAGTAGCTTACAATGCGAAGACCTCATTATGTTACACCATAAATAGAGACAGTCACTACCAGTTGTGCTTCAGTTTCTTTTCTGCTCTCACTCGCACTAGCCGAAACTGTTCTTCTAGAGGACTAGGACTCTTGTAACTCTGATCAGCATGCAGTGCGGTACCCGCACATTGCGAGATGGGTAACGATGGCAATATAATTGGTGACATTTCAACGATATGATATTGTTGAACTTTTTCATCGTAAGCTGCTTTTACTATTCTACATATAACGTTCACTTATCGGCTGTCAAGGAAACTAATATGTTTTTCAAGCTATGCCAGGCACACAACCTGTCTTATTCTTCGCGAAACATTGGAGTTGGTTTCACGACCATGCCAGATGTGCGCGATTAGTGTTATTAAGGTCGAAGCCAACCCTAACAATGCAACGTCTACCCGGTCATTCGGCGCGGAAAGGCTTTAGCAGCTTCGGCATACATGGCCCCAGCCGCCGTCGAAGGGTGTGGCTCAGTGACTTACACGCAATGACGCTATGATTTGTCGCTACACACTGTCATAAACACCAGGATGTCAGACTAGACGAGTGCGCGATCGCGACAGCATTGTGGCTATTTGCTGCATAAGGCCGATGTCAGACTTTGCTAGTCGCGCAATTCGCTATGCGGGTCGCAATCGCGGCCCAGCGAAGCACTTACAATGGCTGGTACCCCAACAGAGAGGACATAGCAAAGCGATTCGCAAAGTCTGACATCGGCCTAACGATCGAGTAAGGCGTGTCGTTATTAATCTGAATGGTTTGCGTTGGGCGCGCTGTCGCAACTGCACAATAGCCGAGTCTGAGATCCACTAGCAAACGTGCCAACACCTTTCAAGTCAAGAAGTCCGCCTCCTTTTTCACAGCTTTTTCTTCTATGATTGGAACCCCAATTTCACACCAAAAAGCGGACATCAATAGAATACACGTGGCAGGGCGAGATCGTAGGCCGGCAAAACTCTGAGTTTTGAGAGATCAACACCTGACCATACGACTCGGCCCTGCCACGTGTATTCTATTGATGTCCGCTTTTTGGTGTGAAATTGGGGTTCCAATCATAGAAGAAGAAGCTGTGAAAAAGGAGGCGGACTTCTTGACTTGAAAGGTGTTGGCACGTTTGCTAAGGTGGATCTCAGACTCGGCTATTGTGCAGTTGCGACAGCGCGCCCAACGCAAACCATTCAGATTAATAACGACACGCCTTACTCGCTCGTAGGGCCGATGTCAGACTTTGCGAATCGCGCGATTCGCTAGCGTCCGCGGTCGCGTTGCGGTACCAGCCAATTGAGTGATTCACTGGCCGACGCGACCGCAGACGCTAGCGAATCGCGCGATTCGCAAAGTCTGACATCGGCCTATGCAGGGCAAATAGCCACAATGCTGTCGCGATCGCGCACTCGTCTAGTCTGACATCCACCTATGAAGTGGGCGACAAATCAGCGTCATTGGTTGTAAGTCACTTAGCCACACCCTTCGACGCGCTGGGGCCATGATCCAGCTGGGTAAAGCCTTTCCGCCAATGACGTTTAGAGTTGCTTGTCTACGTTTCTACGACTAAAACACTAATCGCCACATCTGATGGGTTGAAACCAACTCCAATGTTTCCAAGATAAGACAGTTGGCTGTCATAGCTTGAAAACATATTAGTTTCCTTGACAGCCGATAAGTGAAGGTATATGTATACAAGTAAAACAGTACGATGAAAAAGGCATACATTCCATCGTTGAATGTCAGCCAAAAATTACTATATGCATCCGTTACCATCTCCATGCGGCTCCGCTACTCATGCTGATCAGAGTTTCGTACCAAGACGTCTCAGTCGTCTAGAAGAACAGTTGCTAATAGCAATATAGAGAAAAAACTTCATAGCAATGTAGTACTGTCTCTATGGTGTAACATAATAGTCTCGCATTGTTAAGCTACTCGATAAAGAAGTTGCAAAAAGCTAGACCACAAGGGACGTGATGCATAATTGAATTTGTTTTACAGACTAGAATGAAGAAAGGAGTGGCATCTTTCCGCCACCAAAAAGGGAAACGGACCGCAGGAGAGTTTCAGTAGTACTGTTACGAAAAGAGGAGGACGATGATGTATGAAAAATATGAGAAGGACACGAGAGTTTGGGTAAGTCGTCAGTGTACCGATTGCAGGGTTGCGATCCGGACCTTCCTCTATGTATCACCTTTCACCCTTTCTGTAGTTCCTCTATGTAGCTTGTTGGTACTCATCTGAAAGTGTATTCATCATATCCAGTGAGTGGGGTGGTGGGTGAACTACTCGACGTAAACGCTCGATTTTTTCCAGGCCTCCTCTCAGGCAGGTATGATACTAATTTACTGATTGCATTGGAAAGACTTCGTCAGGTCTGCCTCAGTGAAGACAAGACCTCCAACTGAAACATGGGCTGACTCATCAAGAAATGGAATAGGCCTGATGCTCATTCGAACCTCATGCTTCTGGGTGAAGTCGAGCGCGTGGCGCAGCTTAAATAACTGTGGCTCATGGCAATCCTTCATCTTTTTACGTCACTAGTAAAGGTCCAGGGCACTCACTCTCTCCTTTTGACTTCCTCGCCTCTTGTTTACGTTCTATGTCATCATTTATAGTCGTACATTGCTTTATGAGATCCTTTTACCGATTTAATTTTTAGCGACAGCTGGATCCCAACATCGGTGCTAGCAAATCGATTGAGGATTTAGAAACAGTTCGTAGTCCTACAAATTGTTTTTATTTTGTGCTACAGTACTTCTAGTTTACAGCTCTATGTCTATAAACACAGCACTGAAATAGTAACATTTGATGGTTTCAGAGTGTTCCAGAAAACGTTCTCTCTCCGTTCGTTCAGTAATATTGCATTCGAACTGGGCCCTGGCGTGAAATTCAGCGTTTCTGTGTATGTGATTTACTACAGTTTTTACAAGCTACAAGAAACAAAGCAGTAGCAGAGCCAGTGTTCGCGGTATTTGTTCGTTTTCAGGTATGCGTTGGCTAGTGAAGCTCGTCCTCCCACAAAAGAGTACCTAGACTACGAGACAGAGAACCCGGTTGAGAAGGCGTCAAGTATGGGTTCCTCATGACGTGAGTTGTTAGAATCGTGCAAATTTTACGCAATCAATCATATTAGGAACATCATCGGTTTAAAAATGCCCCGTATGCATAAGCTTTCTTTTTGGCTATGGCTTTTTCTTTGGCAAAAATAGGTCGACACTTCATTAGCAACATCCTGAAATTGCAGCTCTATTTTTATGACCTTCAAATTTCGGAGAAAGGAGGGATGTACCTATCAAAACACAACATTCTCCATCACGCTGGGTTAATTGTAAGCATGGTGCAGATCGGTGGCCACATAGCATTGCAGAGTTGTCTTTCCCCGGGCGTTAACAACTGTTTAGCGGCGTGCTAGCTTGGCTGCCGGGAATTCCCAAGAATTAGATGACATCGATCGGGCGAAAATGATGTTCGAGGCGGTGGGACCCTAGTTATTGTATCTTCAATACTAGAGAGAAGTCCGTTGGGTCCTCTGACACGAACCATAAAGATAGGTAAGCTATCTCGCAGTCTAGTCAGGCGAGTCCTAGACTTGACGTGGCGAGCGCCGCACTTGACAGAAGTTGGTGGATAAGCAGTTTCCAGCGTGCTTTGCTGATTTCCAGCGAAGTTCTTCTGGAAGCAGCTTCTCCACGCGAATTGTGTCAAGTGGGTCGGCTGCCATATCATGTCCGTAGACCCAGCGGGTACTCGACGTGGCCGGCCTGGGCAGCACAGAAGGCAAGTCTGCGGGACGAGTCGTAGCGCGTGCGTGTGGCGATGTAAAACCTTCGATATGTGGTACATGTCTCAGTTGAGCCCAATAGTCGCGCTAGTCGTTCCTGATTGTGGGCTTCCTGCTGGTCGCTACCGGGCTCCTGTCGTGTGCTCAAGACCTCACAGAGAGAGCAATATAGAGAGTATCTTTGCCGCCCCATAGTGCCCCATACCGAGCGGGCGACGACTGTATCTAATCTATTAGTAGAATCAAATCCCTCCCATAAGTGGTCATGCTTGTCATTAAAGTTATTCTGTTATTTTGTGCAAGTGCTTACCTCGCTCTTTGCCGACATCTGCGGTATCAGTGCCACCAGTCGCACCTTCTGGTTGGCTCGCGAGCAAAACCGGCAGATCATCGCCATCTTCCTAGCCCAACATCGCTCCAACAATGCGCGATACAAGCATGCCGATCCGATCACTGACTAGAAAAATGAAAGTTTGTCATCCTCGTACGCCTCCTTGAAACGCCATATAAATTCCAAGGAGAATCTCAAAAAGTGAAGCTTGACAAAATACTCACACTCTCATCCGGATAGAGAAATCGTGACGGTTGGATGTGGTTTTCAAAGTTGATCTCCGATATCGGTTTAAAACCCAGTAACACAATACCTGAAACATGTTAATGGCGAGGAATATCAGGGTCACCGCAGGAAGTCACGTGCGGCGTCGCGCTGTTGGCAGCCTAAATTTCACGCCTACTCGAATGTCGCGTGTTCTCCGTGTAATAAAGGTCCCACGATAAGGACGACGACGGAAGGTCGAAGAAGGTGAAACTTACTCAGTGGAGAGACAGGCAGACCTCCTAAGGGTACGGACCGATACGCAATTCGCCGAAGGATATGCCCGGCGATCTAGCATGGCCTTCCTCGCGGCGCAGTTGGCGCGCTATTGGCCGGTACGCCCCCTCTCGCGTCGTCTCGTGTCTGAGTCTCTAGCCATTCAGCAGAGAGAGCGTAGCGTTGAAGAGGCATCGAGCGCAAACAGCGATGAGAGTCGCAAATCAACGCGCAAGAAGGGGCCCCAATTCTCGGATTCTAGGGTATTTTCCTCGGTTTCTTTCGTGCATGCTGACCATCTCTAATTTAACTTCCAATAAGCTGTGTTTTCTTCATCAAATCCGCCTTTAACACGTACACCTACTCCTGCACGAACGCCGGAGGTACGGTGCGGAGGACACTCAGCACTCTAGTCCAGATCAGGAATCTGGACTGGAAGTGTTGCAACGCCGCGCGACAACTTCTTATTAAACACCATGAATTCAGTACGTCCCGTTGATCATCGAATTGCTCGAGCGGGCGCCAGCAACGTCTCCATTCGTCCCTGTCGCGTGCAAGAGTTGTCCAGTGGACCCTCCTCGCTCGAGGGACACGATGTCCTTCATTCCTTTCGTTCAGAGCTTTCGTGAAGAAGTCTGACCATCGGGCCGGCGGTCGTCCAGGTGTTCGTTTGACGTCCCGAGGGATCCAGTCGGTAACCGCTCTGGTCCAACGGTCATCGCAAAATCGCATGACGTGTCCGGCCCACCTTATCTTCGATTCCTTGGCGAAAACGGCAGCGTCCCTGATCTTCGATCGTTGGCGTAGTTCGGCACTCCGGATTCCCCTCTGCACTTGCGTGTATAGGGTTACTCCTAGCATCGTCCTCTCGACAGCGCGTTGGATAACGCTGACCGCATGCTCGTCCTGCGGTGGTTAGGCAGGAAGGACAGCGGAATCGAAGAGGTGGGCACGGAGCCGGATGTTCTTCGTCTTCTTCACTACTCCCTCGATGTTCTTGTACGCTCCCCAAGCCGCTCGTTTCCTCCTGCTCAGCTCTGGAGCTAGATCGTTCATCATATTGATTTCCCGACCTAGGTACACGTAGCTGGAGCATTCGGTGATGTTCGTTCCGTTGAGCGTGAATGGGGCATCAGGAACCAATCCGTTTCTCATGCCCATTCAATTCAAGAAACGGATTGGTTTTGCTTTGATAACACCGAAATTTACCGCTTGTCACACACTGCAACAGCTAACGGCATGAGGAACCCATGCAATCTTTTTAGAGAGTCTCCCACCAATTACTGACCTCGACAAGATGGAGAGCCAATTCGCTTTGGGTAAGGTCTGATCTAGAAAATGATCAAGAAAAAACCTCGAATCATGTGCATGGTAGTGAAGGCACGTGCTACTGCCCAATCGCTGTTCGCTGTTCCCGAAAAATTTCCCATTGTGATTAAAATGTTCAGAAAACCTACGTTTTGGCCACTCTCCTTGAGGACACTTCATCTTATCAGACACGTCACGAACGTCTTCAGCGAATGGCAGAAATACCACGTGGAATCCGTCGAAATTGTACTCGCGAATGGTATCCAGACGGCTCTGCGAATACATGTGGGGGATTTTCAGATATTTCTCAGGAAAAAAAACGTTCAAAATCAGTCATTGTCCCATCCCATAACTAATTTGAACCGGTAACTCTTCGTAAAGCGAAATCCCACTGTACAGGTATGCTCTTCTTTACTATGTGAACTTGAATAATAAAATTATTCGCTTGACGTGTTGGCAGATTTTAATGGAGAAAGAAGCTGTTTTTGACCCAACTCGTTTGAAACCGGCGGGTGTATTTCAATGTCTCCACCCAGTTGGGGTAATTTAGCCCTGATAGGACTTTCCTTGTGCGGCGATCATTGAAGAATAGCTGGAACCTGCCGTCACTATGAACGAATACTTTATGGAAG